CAGTCGGGGACAGCCACAGGACCCCCTCGTGCTCCCCAGGGAGCCACAGGAACAAAAGTAGCAAAAGAAATAAGCGGCTCCTGTCCCTGAGCGGTGCCGGGGGCGGTCAGTGCTGCGTGAGGGGACACTGGGAGGGGTGACACGCTGCCAACTCAAACCCGGGGAGCGCCCGGAAAGGGGGTTCAGTGCCAGGGAGCAGCCGCTGGGCCCCGAGCTCAGGCTGGGGGAGCTGCTGCACCTCCCTCGCGCCTTCCCCGCGTCCTCCCGGGGGTCTCCCACGGCTGCCACCGGCACAGCAGGGCCACGGAGCTGCCACCTCCGCCATCGCTGAGCTGACCTTGCAGGGAAAGAAAGAGAACAACCCAAAAATGTCACAAGCTGCACCCAAAATCCAGGAGCCATCCCAGCCCTGGAGCTGTGAGTGCCCCTCACCCAACACCCCGGGGGGCTGGGAGGAGGTGCCCGGCCCCGGGGAGCCCAAGGCAGCCCCCGGCCCTCCCCGGGGCACGGGGCAGCGGCTCTGTGCCCACCTCCCACCCGGCAGACATGCAGCGCCGGGCTGCCCCGGCACAACCCGGGGCTGGCACAACCCAGAGCCCGGCCGAGCTGCCCGGACCCCCCCGGCTGGGCTGCGGCGGAGCCGGCGCGGGGCAGCTCAAAACTACTTACAGCATTTATTATTTTTTTTTTTTTAAACACATGCTCGTTTATGAAAACAATCACCCTGGCACGGTCCAAGCATATACAGACAAATCTACTCTACGACACGAGGGGCTGCCAAAGGAATGGGGAAAAGCCTCTACTCATCCACTCAGCGGTTCCAGCACAGCCACGGAGAGGGGAACGGCCGTCGGGGCCCCTCCGCAGCGGGTACCCCGGGGTCGCCTGTACTCCAGCTGCCGGAGCTGAGAGCGGGGTTGGGGGGTACCTGGCCGTTATCTTCAGACACATCTCGGCTTTCGGAGATAAAAACAAAAGGTTTCTTCCAAATCAGCAGGCAAATTTAACGCAGGGAGGGAGGGCACCTCCCCGCAGTCCCTGGCTGTGCACCCAGGACGCGCCCGGCCCTCAGGCCAGCCCGGCCATCCTCAGGGGGACGAGGGTGGGAAGGTCACAGCCCCTTCCCTGAGGGCCACCCGCTGCCCCGGGCCGGTGTGGGGTGCTCGGGTCAGCGCCGTGCGGGGGCCGTCCCCTCGGGCCCCCTCCCCGGGTGGTCCCGGGCGGGGCTGGGACAGCGAGGGACGCGGCAGGGAATGAGGGGGAGCGTGGGGACAGGGACGGGCTGTGCGCTCCGAGGAGCAGGGGGAGAGGAGGTTTTGTACCTCATAGTGTCACTGATTTTGAAGTCCTGGAGCTAGAGCTGAATGAACAGTAAAAGCAGGTTAAATCATTAACCAGTTAGGGACGGGGAAGCAGCTGTAAAAGGAACAGAGGAAGAAGGCCAGATTATTATTTTTGTTTCTTTTCTTTTTTTTTTTTTTTTTTTTTTTTCCTTTCCTTGTCTTCTCTCCTGGTCGCCGCC